GAGGGAGAGAATGATAAAAATTTCCTTATTATTTTTCCCAACTCTATCACCCTCTATTCTAAAATCAAATTTTCAAGATTTCAAAAACTTTCCTTCTATATCTCTTGCACGTCCCTCTTATACGGAATATCTTCTTCTCCATGAAACCAAATGCATCGAGGAGGGAGGGGAGAGGAGAGAGGGGAGAGAGAGATCGAGAAGGAGAGAGCGAGATCGAGAAAGACGAGATCGAGAGAGCGAGATCGAGAGAGAAGTGAAGAAGTGGTGATAATAGTGAAAAAAAATGGGATGGTTAGGAAAAAAATGGATTGTTTTCTTTTTCTTTTTTTTTTTCTTTACTCCACCAAATTGAGTTAAATTAAATTTTAAATTTAGAATTAAAGGAGCAGATTTATGAGGGGGAGATTAAAGAAAAAACAGGACTTTTTTTTATACTTTCACCTAATTAGATAAAATTTTAAATTTACGATTAAAGGAGGACTACCTAATTAAATTATAAATTTGAATTCTAATCCTAATCAAAATTAGGGGAGATATTAAAGGAGGGATTTATGTTAATTTTTCAAATGATTCGAAACAATTAAGAAAACAAATCTAAATTAAATTTCAAATTTGAATATACTAAAATGAATGCGATTCACTAAATTTCAATTATAATTTTAAATTTTAGTTAAAAAAATCTTCAATGCTTAGTATTTTAAATTTGAGATTTCGTTTCTCTCCATTCCAATTTTTAAATTCGTTTCTCGCTCAATCATCTCTCGTTTTCTCTCTCTCGCTCAATTGTCTCTCTCTCTCAACTTTCTCTTATTCAACTCTCTCTCTCTCTGAGCTTCTTTCTTTGACGAACGACCTCCCTCGTCGGCAAAAATGGTGAGAGATTTAGTTTTTTTTTTTATGGTAGAGTAAACAAGAAAAAAATCATGCTGGTGGAAGACATGGAAAAGAGAAAGAGGGAAGAAAAAAATCTGGAAAAGGAGGAAGATGGAGGTAGAGAGAAGAAATAAAGAAAAAAAGAATTAAGGGAGGAAAACTAAAAACTTTTGGTAGTAGAGTAAGGAGGGACATGGGAGGTCATGCAATGACTAGAAAACTAAGAAGCTTATTTTGTCAATTTTCCCATCAATATTTTGACATAATTTTCTTTTAACCCATGAAATTTGAAACTTGTGACTATTTAATTTCTAAAGTTTTTAAATAAAGCAAAATTGAATTATTTTACAAACTTCAGCAACCAAATAAATATCTACTTTAAATTTCAAGAACCAAAAATATATTTAAACTAAGGAGAAGTCAAAATAATAATTCCACCAGGTGAAAATGTGATGAAATTACATGTTGATACAGAGGGCAGTTGAAGAATTTTATTCACATTCAAAATAGTGTCCAATTCTTCTTGTTGAAGTAATATTCATACAGAATTTTGAACAATTATGTCATTGCATAACCAAAAATTAAGAAAAACACAACCAAACAACAGAATTGGGATCAAATCTAACCTGTCCTGAATTCTCAAAATATCAATGAATGACTTAATATTGTCTGTACAAAGTTTTGATAGAGAAAACTATCTGCTGTTGAACAAATATGTGATACAAAATTGCAGTTTGAGAGGGGATAATATTAATCATACACAAAATGAGAAAAAAAAATCCCAAATAATTAACAGGTCTATCGCAGTAAACACATATAAACTAAAACTGATTTATTCTCCTAAATTTTGAGAGCTATAGATAGAAACACCTGCCCCATCAACGGTGTAAATAAGTTATCAGGACATCATGCCCAAAAATATACACTTCCCCCATGTAGACTCGTTCTCTTGTCGTCCGATGTGTCCAAACTTCGAGTACATCCATTTTCCCAGAGCCTTTTTTACGACCATCTTTTGTTTCCTACTCGGGAGCAGATTGAGTAGAAGTTGTGTGAATCGGTAAGCACACAAGACATGTATGCTCAGCAGCAACTTGTATAATCTTCGAATGAAGCAATCCTTCTGCTACTTTGAAGGAGAGTACAATATGCAACTGGAGAACCATTCAGTTCTATTTTATCACATCCTTAACCAGGGCGGCGTTTAGACCGCCTTCGTTTGCCAAGAAGTTTTAGCATGTTGTCAGTTACATCAATAGGAGAATCGTCGTCTGAATTCGCACTGTTGTCGGAGGTGTGTGTCAACCAGGCCAGAGCCTCTATAGCAGCATCCCTCTCTGCAAGCTGCTTGTTTTTCTTAGGCTTACCCACAAATTGCATACCCTTAAATTCAACCAGCGCCCTGAACTCATTTGTCTTGAGGTGCTTGGTTTTGTATTTTGGAGGGGAATGTCCTGCTCTCATTAGCAAGGTTTGTAGCAAGCTCTTTGGATTGGTGCCGTCCTTTGTGAATTTACTATCATCGCCCGACACTTGCTTCTTACTTTCCCGACCGAAGACGAATCTCCCTTCACATTGGTCACCTGACACCAACTCTTGAACAGAAAGAACAAGGTACTTGCCTTCCTTGAGAATATCAAGGCCCGGGTTCTGAAGCTGAAATGCATGAAACCACCAAATTAACTGACCTTTTCTAAAACTGGGGAGAACTTTGCCCAAAAGAGCGAGCCACAACTTTTTTACCATTTCCCATTAAACTTAATTGTTTCACCTCAAAATATTTTTTAAATGCAAAAGGTTAACACGTGAATACAAAATCTATAATAACAAAAATATAAA